CGTGGTTTTTGTATTAGACCCGTCGTCCATTTATTTGTAAGTCAATGTTCTATGCGTTATTATTCTAAGTTTGACAGTTCGTAATTTTAAAATTTCAGTGCGCTTAGCACGAGCCCGAAAACAAAAAAAATCTTGAAGATGTTAGCTGATAAGTTCGATTGTCTTTTGACGTGAAAACTAAGTCAAAAGACAAAATCACTGTTAATTATTATTGTAGCGAACCGTGAAAGTATACAAAATTTGGCCGTCGTATTACGGTTAGAGAGAAATTCTCGTCATTCGCTTGCGCCTGTAGAGACTGTTAGAGATAATTTGTAGTGACGGCATTTTTCGAGAGAAAATTGACAGTTCGAAGAGAGACCTTTTGTCTTCAGGCTCATACTAACCGTGCTGTTTGCCTGACTGCTTAGTGTTACCTAAGTTACCTGCTACTTAGCAAGATTTTTCAAATTTGCCGCTCTTTTTTTGTGCCAGCTTTCGTTGGCCAGACTCTATAAAGGTTGTTGCTCATTTGTAAACATTTTGCTTTTTTTCTTCCGCTATTTTGTACATTCAAAGGGAAACGTAATAAACAAAAGAGTGTCACTAATTTTGAAAAAAGAATAAATAACGAGTGCGTCACGATAGTGGTGTGTACTTAGAATAATAACGCATAGAAACCTAGCCCGCACACGCTAAGTGAGGCAAGTTATAGGGTTCCAAACGCGTCCCAGGAGCGCGCGGGCTGTTAGTGCTCAAGGTCATATTGCACCGCGAACAGCTCCAAAATTTTTTGCTAAAAATGACGAAATGTGCGGTAAATGGGTGTAAAAATACAACAGACAAACATAAAATAGACACTAACATCGCATTCCACAAGTAAGTAATGCGTTTCAACTCATATTTTTATGTAAATATTCACTAAAACAGAAAAATAATTTCGCGGCAACAAGATACGAAAGTGTTGCAAAGTAACGAATTTTTTTTCTCCCCATTTTGCTATTCTGTATCAAAATAATTATATTACGTAAATTTTAGTGGTGCCTGTAATTTAGATTTATTTGCGCATCTTGAACTAATATTTACTTTAATAAACATTAAATGTTTTCGTTAACTCCTGTAAGTGATTGGGACACTTAATTATTTTATAATACTTTTAACGGCTCTGCGTTCATGCTGTATTGAATAATTATTTATTTTAATTTTATTTGAATTGGAGCACATATTGCAACAAATTTACAGTACTTATATATTTGTTTCTACTATAGTGTTGGCACCACCAGTACAACTTTGATAGCTTATTATATGTCTTTCTTTTCGTAACTCAAGCGAAATATTTTATATTAAAATATTTTATTTTCTTAAAAGGGGAGCATTCTTAAGCGATTTTTTAATCTATTTTAACAGTTATTTTCTTTAATGTTTGCTTATGGCATTTTCGGTTTTAGGTTTCGAATATGGCACTTATTTCTAAATCCAAGATGCGGGCGCGATTTTTCGAATAATGGCAAGTTGGGTATCGTTTTCGAGATGTTTGGGAATGTTCGATACAAATATGGCACTCATTTCTAAATCCAATATGGCAAACACGACAGTTCAAACAAAAGCAATATTCGTAATGAGCACCCCCAAATACCTCGAAAACGATACCCAACTTGCCATTATTTGAAAAATCGTGCCCGCCATCTTGGATTTACAAATAGTGCCATATTCACATTGAGCATCCCCAAATACCTCGAAAATGATACCCACATAGCATTTTTTTGAAAAAATCGTGCCCGCCATCTTGGATTTAGAAATGA